ACGACACAATCCAAAGATAAAAATAATACAACATCTACAATTTCTACTATTAGTGACCTGAATGCCAAGGTAGATTCCCAATATATCCCATGTGAACATGCTGATTACTGAAAAAAGTGGATGTAATTAAAGGAGAACTATGGGGTTAAGGCTTTTCCCCATAGTTTTCCTTAGGGTAACGGGAGGGCACAAACTAGCGTCCTCCCATCACCCTAGGCTCAGTATACCACGAGCTGTAGCTCGCGGTATACTGAGACGCCGCAGCTGAAGCGGATCCCGACAATTATGTCTGGATCGGCCCAGCTGCGTGAGTGACAGCTGGCTCTGCCTATCTAGAGGCAGAGCCAACTGTAGCTGCCCCCTCTCCCGTCCGTTCCGCCAGTCAGCGCTGGCGGATCGGAGCGGGTAGGGGGGAATCCAGCCCCTCCCCTGTCACTGCAGAGAGCCGTGACAAGATCGAGAGGTGAGCGAACGCCGGTATGTGTTCACTCACCTCCCGATCTACTAGCCGAGACTGTCACAGGTCGGCTAGAACTATGAGGTGAGTGAAAAGCACTCACCTCATAGTTCTCCTTTAAATACACTGGGAATCATCAATTTGTTGAATCCCAAGCTTTCAAAACCGAAAATATATATCAGTCCTCTCCAAAGTTCTTACGGTCTGTCTAACCACTAAACAGTTGTTCTCAGATATAGAGGGCATCTTTAGGAGATTACAATTTCCACAAAAACAAAAGCAATTCTCTGACAATGGAATGTGACAAGAAGAAAAAGAGCAGCAACTTCACACCTACTGTAGGTCGTAACCCTAAACTGGACACATATATTAACAACTTCATACTGCACGTTACATCCCAGCAAAAGAAGATTTTATACAATCTTTGCCAACCGCACCTCAGACATAAACTAATCAGCAGGAAACGTAATTCTGATTACAGCGACACAAACAAAAGAAACAAAACCTTGCAATATTAAATGTTGCAAACTGCAAACATAGTTTCAAACAGGGCCATCCCTATTATGAGGCGGCATAGCTGTGGGTCACATGGGGGGGTAGTAGGCAGAGTTTGCAGTGTGACATCACTGGTTGTCAGGAGCTCGGCTGGATAACGGACAAAGTATTCCAGTTTGCTAAGAGCTGGGTGGAGGGAAGCAGAGCACTTACACATCTCCCTGCCTGGCTCTTAGGAAAGTCACTCTCCACCAGCACCCCCCTTCCCCACCGTCATTATGCATTA